TTTTAATATTTATTTATTTATTTATTTATTTTGTGTGTGTGTGTGGCCAGCTCAGCCCACCAGGGGGCGGGGCTGACTGGCATGTGGCGCTGGGGGACTGAACCGCAGTCCCTGTGTTTTGCTTAGCTTAGCTTGTTCTAAGTAGGTGCTTTAGACTACTGAGCCATCTCACCAGCCCTAGTTCTCTTATTTATTGATTTAATGAAGAAGTATATTACTATATCATAAATAAGTTTGTGAAATGTTGTACTAGAATTTTGATGTAATTATTCTTTGTGTTGCTATTTTGCTTTATAAATTTAAATATTTTGCCTAGAAGTGGTCCATAGTGTTTATCAAATTGCTGAAAGCACAATGAAAAGTTTAAAATACTGACTTTAATTCTGAAGGTTTTTTATTAGTGTCCTTTAAATTTTGAGCAGAAAATTTTAAACATCTATAAAAATAAAGATAATAGCACAGTAAATTCCCTTCCTTCCATACTTCTTTCAGATTATGAAAGTAAATCCTAAAGACTTGGGAGCAGGTATACAATGCATTTATTATATCAGAAAGAAAATGTAATTCCTTAGTATCCTCAAATATATCAGTATTCCAATTTCTGTCTCACAGGATCCAGGCAGTATCTTCTCCTTAAGAATCTTCTTGTTTCCATCTGTTATTTTCTTTGAAGTCTGTCTGGTAAATTTTGTTACTACTCTGGTGTTTTTTGGAGTTCACGTTTTACTGGTTCCATCTTCACAGTTATCTTTTTTTGTTGTTGTTGTTGCAGTATTGGGGATTGAACTCAGGACCTTGTACTTGCCAAGCAAGTGCTTATTCTACTGAGCTATGTCCCCAGCCCCCCATGGTTATATTTAATATGTACTTCTGATTGCACTATCTTCTATAGACTAGTTGTTAGGTTTAGTGTCTTCTCGTTTGTGTCAGCTTGCTATGAAGTTATATGGCAAGTTATACATGTCTGGGTAAATAAATTCACATTTTGCAAAGTTGCATTACTCAAAGAGAAGAACAGTTTATTTGGGGGGGGGGTACTAGAAATAAAACTCTTAGGGCCTCATACTTGCCAGGCAGGCAGTGTGCTGCTGGGCTACATCCCTGACCTGGGAATAACTTATTTTTTATTTATTTATTTATTTAAATTTTATGTGTGTGTGTGTGGCCAGCTCAGCCCACCAGGGGGCAGGACTGACTGGCATGTGGTGCTGGGGGATTGAACCGCGGTCCCTGTGCTTTGCTAAGCTTGTTCTAAGTAGGTGCTTTAGACCACTGAGCCATCTCACCAGCCCGAGGGAATAACTTTTTAGATCATGCATTTATTTAGTTTGTGTTTTAATTCGTAACTGTTTGAGGTATAAATATCCATTGCATTTTCTGTTGTTTTGCATTATTTTTATTTAACCATTATAGAATAGTGGAGGGGAATATATACAGTTGCTTGAATTTGTCAGCTTTCCCATTGCTGGTACACAATACTCCACACCCACAATTTAAAGGAAACTTTAATTTAGCTTACGGCTTCAGGGATTTAGTCCATGGTGTGCTGCTGCCAAGGCAAAAACAGCAAAAGGGTGTGGCAGACCAAAGCTGGGCTAGAGAGCCGTAGGGCAGAGTATGGGGCAGAGATGTGTCCTCCAGAGGCACGCGCCAAGACCCAGCTCCTGCCTGAATCTGCGTTTCAACAGCACACTTGCCTTTGGACTTCAGTGTGTTGTAATGCACTAATGATTAGGACACTGCTGCAGTTCAGTCACCTCCCAAAGAGTTGTAGACTGTTGAAGATGATGATTAAGCTTAACTGGCTGATTGCTATCTTACATGTTTATCTTCGGGTTTTGAAAAATTATACTCCAGTACTTTTCTCCTGATTATTTGTATATTATAATTTTAGAAATTCTTGAATTTTCAGATGTGGGGTAGGGTAAGACAAGGAAGAAAAAAAGGGCTTAGTTCCCAGTTTCAGCAACTATTTTAATTGAATAAAATACCAATTATAAAAAATTCTTTAAACCACTTCTCTATATTAGGATTTTAAGAATTCCATAATTGATTTTGTGGCACATTCCTAAACTTTAAGCATTTATGGCCACATAAAACTGTCTTTGAATGATGAGAAAGAATTAACATAACTTACTATAAATATTTTCATCAAGTACTGTATTTACTTTTTTTTTTTTTTTTTTTTTTTTGTATTTAGTACAGGGTCTCATTACGTAGCTCGGATTTGTAGTGATTCTCCTGTTCCCAGCCTCTCAAGAGCTGGGATTACATGCCTAGTCTCCTGCCCCTCTCAGCATGCCCTGGAGGCAGGGCCCGCATGGCACACCGGGGATCAAACTCTTGTCCCTCTATCTGCCTAAGCAGGCTCATTAATCTGCTGAGCTATCTGGCTGGCCCTTGTATTTACTGACTTTTGGGGGTTTTTGCCCAGGCTGGCCTCTAAATCACAGTGACCCTCTTATCCCAGCCTTCCCACTGCTGGAATTACAGGCATGTACCACCATGCCCAGCTATATTTACTAACTTATAAGTGTGATATAACCAGTAGTTCTCCAGCTAACACACACATTTTTCAGTTGAGTTTCAGCTCCCAGTAAAATTAACTTTGCTCTAACTCTTCCAGGAAAAAAATTCTTCAGACAGCATAATAGTTTATGCATGTCCTTTCTACAAGTATAAAGTAATATAATCATTTAAGTTTAGGAAAACTAGACTATTTCATGATGCAAATTATGATTAAGGTAAAATAGTTTCATGTTATTACCGTAAATTGACCTGGCCACAAGCAACTAGTAAGTGGCCATGTACTCACTGACACCTCTTCCTTTCTAGATTATAGTATTAATGTCATCATAATGTATCTTATGTCTTATCTGGTAGATTTAGCTTCTTAAAGCCAGGCTCCCACAGAACACATGAACTTGACTATTTTGGGGGCTTAGTTTATAATTGTCAATCTATACAGTATCTTAATTAAGAATCTTCTGTGCCTTGCTTATAGAAAATCTCCAAATAGCTCCCTCCTTCATTCTTCCCTCAGTTCTTTGTGTTGTAAACTATTCCCTACTTTGAACTGACTTCATCAGTACATCTAGCTCCTGCTTTAGAATCCAGGCTCACACTGTTTCATTCAAGTATTTGCATCTTGTTAAAGGCTTTACTGTTTTCTGGGATATGTGTTGTGCATATGCTGGCTTTTTAAGTTTTTCGTGTTGTACAATCTTTTGACACATTTTTACAAATGGAACATGTGTCTTTTTTTTTTTTTGGCAGAACCAGGGGTTGAACTCAGGCCTTGCGCTTGCCAGGCAAGCGATTATTCTACCAAGCTGTCTCCCTGGCCGCTTTACAAATGGAACATAGAGGTTCTTTTTGTGGCATACCTTACTCTGTAGTTACTTGATAGAGGCAGTGATCTTCCCAATGGCTCTATCAGATAGATAAAATAAACAGATATCTGTAAAATAAACAGATAATGCTGTTTATTTTCCAGTCATTTATTTTGTTATTTCCAGCCTCATCAGATTTTTTTTCTATATAACTAGATTGCTAAGGGTTTTTTTTTCCCTTCATTCAGATGTTTCAGCAGTATCCAAGGATGGCATATCCTCCTCTACATGGTCCAGTGAGGTTTCCACCCTCTTTATCTGAAACAAACAAGTAAGACTATGCTCATATTTTCTGAATGGCAAGTGGACTGTGTTGCTTCAGTCATTCTTCTAGTCTCATGATACAGTTGCCACTAAGGATATTGGCTAACTCTAATGTGATGGAACAAATAGACTTCATTTTGAAAAATTGGCTTAAAATAAAAAATAAGAAATCATTGATCTTAACATAGGTGTTTGGTTCTCCCTTTTTCCTTTCATGATATTAACCAATCCCAAGTCCTTTCCTGAATGAAATTTGAGCATCCTCTTGAATGGATTTTTGTTAAATTGTATATTTTGAAATTCATTTTAATCATATTGTTATTTTAAATCTTTTAAGAATTGCTTTTAAAACTGTCGTAGCTTTTAAATACGTAAGAATTATATAATGCGTTGCTGTTTATCAGTGTTAACTTCTTTATACCCGTGATAGTGCCACATATTTCATATGCCTCAATGTGAACAAAATTTCAGACTTTAATATTGTCCTAATGCAGTGTCATACCTTTTTCTACTATGCCTCCTTATTAGAGGCCTTCGAGGAAGAGGCCCTCCTCCTTCCTGGGCTTCTGAGCCTGAACGCCCATCCATCCTCAGTGCATCAGAACTGAAGGAACTTGATAAATTTGATAACCTAGATGCTGAAGCAGATGAAGGTTGGGCAGGTAAGAGACAAAAATTAGTTAAGCACTGAGTTTTTAGATGTTTTTAAGCAGTCAACCTGAGTCTGGCTTAATTTAACAGGTGCTCAGATGGAAGTAGATTACACAGAGCAGCTTAATTTCAGTGATGATGATGAACAAGGAAGTAGTAGTCCGAAAGAGACTAACAGGTGAGTTGTTTTGATAATTTTTACTACTAGCATTATAAATTTGTTGATAGAACATTAGCTGTTCATACAGAGCAGCTTCATTTATTGGCATTCATTTTTTAATAGAATTTCTTGAAGTTTTACTAAGTTATGAGGGTAATTAATGAAACAAATTCTTGCAGTATAGCCCATCAAGGAATTAAACTTAGACAAGAAAGTACATTTAAAAACAAATGTAGGCAGGCTCAGCGACTGAGGTTTGATC